GTGGATGAGATGCTGTTCGGGGAGAGCCGGGTAAGGGGGCCGGGATACCGGGGAGCACCACGGGTCGAGGCGGCTGGGACCTCACCAGGCCAAAGTCAGCCCCATCCCGCCCAGGGCACCGTGGTGCTGGGGTCCTGCCCAGTGCTCCTCGGCCCCGGCTCGGGCACCCTCCAGGCAGGGAGCTCCCGGTGCCTCGGCCCCTCGCACCTCTTCTGACGGTCCTCATCCCACCCTGCTTGCGCTGGCTTGCTCGCCAGAGGCTCTTCACCATATTGCCTCCATGGTCCCTGTTTTCCAAACCTCCTGGGTGAGGGATGCTGTCGCACCCTTCGCCAGCCCCCCCCAGGCCCTGCCACCTCTGCACTCTTAATTACTTGCCGCGCTGTGGGAGCTGGATGTTCAATTCCTTCTGGGAGGGCGCAAAATCCACCCCCGCCTCCTGGGAGCGTGGCAAGGTCACCAGACCAGGAGCTGCATGTGCCTCTGTCCTCCTTGACACCGCAAGCTTCCACTTTTCACAGGGTAATTAGTTAATTAGTGAGACAACGGAGGCTCAGGAGGTGAGACACCCTGGTAAAGGAGAGGAGCCGGCATTACGGGGTCTATACGTTAGACAGAGGTTGTTTCATGTGGGATATATGGAGAGTCCTTGGATCAGGGGCTGGAAGCTTCTAGAGCAGCTTGTTGCCAACATATTTAGATTTTCATCAGGGAGCTACGAAATCAGTCCCCTTGGAGACGAGGCAGAATTGCAGCAGGTCTCTGACCTCCTGGCTGGATGCCCTGGCCATTGAGAGAGGAGATAAACAGAGAGCAACAGCTCTTTCCTCTCTGGTCTTGTAAGGAAAAGGCTCGCTTCCTCCACACTCGTCTCTCGGCTGAGGAGAGCCCAGGGGAGAGCTGCAACCGCTGTCACCAAGGTGGACGATGGCATTTTCCAGGCAAGGGTGATGTTTTGGACATCCTTCCCCGCTGCTCCTTCTCCCACCTCCTTTATCGAGTCTCCAGCTGCTCTCCCCGTGGCAGGTTGGGTTTATGGCTGCAGCCGTTGGCTCTCCCCACGCTTTGTGTCGTCTTTGACACAGATCGAGGTACAAGGGCCAGGCTGGACGCTGCCAGAGTTTGACCCATCTCATGCTCGCCGCCTCTTTGGCTGATAAAATGTTGGGGGTATCGCCGCTGGGGCCGTGGCAGGCGGCTGGCTGCCATGAGGGGACCGCACTGTGTTCGAGGCTCTTGTCCCTCTGCGGGGGTGTGTGTTTGCAGCTGTAATTTCCTCTCCTGGGTCTTATCGCTTGAAACAAATCTGTCGGAAGAGACTTGCCAAAACCCTTTGGCTTTTCAGAGGAGAGGAAGGAAGCGTGTAATGAAGATTACCTCCGCTCCCAACTGGAGTCTGTGCAGACGGTTTGCCTCGTGGGTTGGGAGCGCTCCCGGCAAGCAACCTGCTCCGGGGCTGCCAGGTCCGTGTGCCTCGGATGCCCTGTGAGCCAAGGACCCCCAGGCAGGTTTATGATCTGTTATCTCGGAAGCCTTCAAGGCAGTTAGATAAAAATGTCGTAACACTCATATGGGTGTTAACTGAGTTCCCTGAGATTAATCCAGGTCTAGTCCAAGGAGTTCTCCTGACTTTGGGGACAATGTGCGAGCTGGCTGCAGTGAATAACACTATTATCTTTGTTTGCATGGATGTTTCAGTGCCAAACCCTTTAATTCAACAGCTCGCACTTGGGGCCTGCGGTGGCTGGGAAGCTGCTCCAGTATCTGCCGTGCTGGGCTGTGGGAGAGCCCGTGGTTTGGGGTCATCAGACCCGTAAAATGGAAATATTGCAGACCCGTAAAATGGAAATATTGCAGATCCATAAAATGGAAATACTGCCAGCAGCAAGTTCCCAGGGAACTGCTCAGCGCCCAGCCGGCTGTAGGATTTGTTCCAGCAGTTGCTTAGGATTTTAAAGCTGAACTAGTAGATAGAAGTACAAGAGAAACCACACATTTGTGTGTTACCTTAGATTAGCTCTTGCAGTTCCCTGACCCGGGTGAGTATTTCACTGGGACGCCTACACCATGGTTGGGCTCGGGGAAGTGACCCTGGACGAGGGAAGCTGAACCTGCCCTGCTGGGCTCGGGTCTCCTGGCCGGGGACTGTCCCGCTCGGCTGCTGGAGGTTTGCTCTGCAGACCAGGACCTGCTCCGAAATGCTCTTTCCTGTGGGATTGTCAGCAGCCCCGGCAGGGCTTTACCCCGGAATGGACGGGACGTCTGTTCCTGCCTATCGGAGACCCTGCGGCCTGATCGGAGGTTCCCGTGGGGCAGCCCCACGTGTGTGGGACATCCCTCGGCTGCTCCCACCCCTCAGGGGGCACCCAGCACCCACCCTGCCCCGGGGGGGTGCGGAGTGCGGTCCCCGAGTCACCCAGCAGCTGGGGGACACTTCACTAGGTGGCAGTCTCAGCTTGAGCAAAGGGACCGGCACCAGTCTAGGCTGTACTGGGAGTACTGGTTTCTACCCAGTGCTGTCTGCCGGTTGATTGCCCTGCAAGGCCAGACCTCGAGCTGTCCCCGCTTTCCCCTCCCCAGCATCCCCCTGCCAGCCCCCAGCGAGTTTGGGTCAATCTGGGTTGGTTTTTCCTGAGTCCGTGGGGCTCAGCAGGACAGAGGTGCCGGTGGCCACGGGTGAGTGTGGCAGAGGCAGCTGCCATCAGCTCAAGGTAGCCGAGATGATGCTTGAGCATTTGCAAGGTCTTGCCCTGAGCGAGCAGCTGTCAGCTCATCATTTACTTCAGATCTGGGCGAGAGACTGATGCCCAGATTTTTATAGTAAAACCAGTGCTGTAGGGGTATTTTTGGTTCTCCCCATGTTCTCATCAGGCCTTCGGAGCTGGGGCTGCTGAGGCAAAAACCCCTTCCTGTGCCCAGACTTCACTGGTCTTGGTGGTGTGAGAGGGTGTTTGTCAGAAAGCGTCCCAAGTTCACGGGAACCTGGGGCCTCTCGTGCCCAGAGCACCTCTGTGCCCAGGAGCCAGGGGCAGAGAGCTGAGCACGGGGTGGTGGCAGGAAAGCCATAGGAAATGCCATCCTTTCTTGCAGAGCCTGCAGCAGTCGCGCTCTGGCAGCCCCATCGTGATCCTTCGGGATGTGCAGACTACCCCAAAAGCACCGTCCGCTGGCAGGCACAAGCCCGAGACCATCCGTCTCATCACCAAGGACTTCATCCGTGATGTCGTGTAAGTATGTGCCCGAGTGGCAGCTCTGAGGAGCTTTCGGGGCCCTGCGTGTCTGTCACAGCACTGTCTCGGTGCACGGAGTTTGTCCCACCGTTTGCCGGGACACCTCAGGGGAGGAGGGATGGGCAGCAGTGCTCCAACATGCCTGGCTTGAGCGGCAATGGAGCACTGGGCGTTTTACAGAGGAACTGAATCATCGTAAGAACCAGTAAAAAGCAACATAAAACCTCAGCAGCTAGAAAAGCTCCTTCTGGGCTGAACGGCCCCCCAGGGTGGCACCTGCCCCCCACCACGTATCAAACGCTGCCTCCCATACCCCAATACCGAAAAGCCCCATGTGAGAAAGGCAGTGGAGCATCGCCTGCAGCCCCTGCGCACCAGGAGCTGTGTGTTTCTCTACAGGGATGTTTTATAAGCAAGGCTGAACTGTAAGAACCCTGGCCCTAATTACTACACCTCGTTAAAAGCCTGCAGCACATAGACGAGAATAGGGCCATTATCCCAGCCAGCTCCAATTTAGCCTCATTTTGACCTCCCTAAATTTTCCTTGTAGTTGTCGCTCGGTGCGAGGTTCATCTTCGCTTCCTGTTTTGAACTTCCATGTAATGCTCTTACACCCCGTAAAACGTGACACCCGCCCCACGGATGGTTCAGGTTTTGTGGAGAGTGAAATGGCACAGAGGCACTGGTTCAGGCTTTCGAGGCCGGTACCTGGTTTTATATGTTCACGTTCTTATTTAGCCCTGCTGATGAAGCTGAGGGCCAATTTCCAGATGTGTTGCACAGCCGCAGGTCCAACTGAAGCTAATGGAAACTGTTTGTGCTGGTTTAATTCCTGAAAATCAGGCCCTGGACATCCCAGGCTGGTCACCCAAACACTGAGACGACTAAAGCAGTGGCCACTGTATCATTACATTTATTAGTGCCGTTGTGACCATTAGCCATTCTTTAAGGCGTCCTGGAATCCGATGCTGTGATGCAGCTCTTGAACGATCATTATGCAGGTATCTGTTCATATTCACAAGGGTGGATGAAAGGTGACACACAATAATAATGAGTAAATTCTTAGACCTGAACATCTTCAAAGTGCTCTATGCATTTGGTTAATATATGCTCCTACACCACATGCGTCACCATGGTATCTGAGTAATACAGAGAGTAATTAACTCCTTACAACTCTCCTGGAAAACAGTATTATTATCCACATTTTTACAAGTGGGGAAATGGGGGCACCAAGAGCTTCGGTGATTTCCTCTAAACTACAGCGTGAGTCACGGGCAGAGTTTGTGGCTCTGCAGTGTCCTGCAGAGCTGGGGTGACGGCTGGAAGGACACCTGCCAGCACTGGGAGGGGAGAGGGTGCTCCGTGTTTGGGCAGCACAGCATTTCCTCATCTTGTGCCGGGTGGATTCCCGGGGCAGCGGAGCCGAAGCTGAGCTGTGCTGTGCAGATGTGGAGCTGGAGCAGGCTGAGTGTCATGAAACAGAGTGAAAAGGCAACTTCTGCTCCCCAAAATCTGTCTGCATGGAACAGAGGTTTCGACCTGGCACGCAGGAGCAGCGGCAGTCAGTCTAGGGGCAGGGATGAGCAGCGTGTTCCACTGGAAAAGGGGTCAGGGCAGTGGTCAAAATTTTCCCAAATGAGGGCTGGGAAAGTCAGGTTGGACTGAAATACTTTCAGCATTTTTTATTGGGGCTGACTAGGCCCATGCTGAATATTTTGAGGTTTTCCCGGGAGGCCCCTGGCCACCCTGCCGAGCATCCTGTCCCCCATGCATCACAGCGTGGTGCTGCTTTCACTGCACTTTCTGTTTCTTCCTCCCCCCCGACCGGGAGAGACGGGTCCCCACAGCTCAGGCGCTTCCTGCATTGCTCTCTGGTGACTCCTGGTCGTGGAGCTGCTCCTGCCACCCCTGGTGTGGGCAGCCCAGGCAGGTCCCATGGCCAGGCAGGGAGGTCAGTGGGGCAGGGAACAGAGGGAGCTGTCGGAGACTCCATGCCACTGACCGCTCTCTCTCTGTGCCCAGCGTCCCTGCGGAGAACCCAGCAGCATCCCTCATTATCGGCCAGGAGGATTTCCAGCGCATTAAAGAAGCAGCTCGAGTCCTGACCAAGGAGGAGCGTGAGACCAAGCTGGCAGCCCTCAAAGCGGAGAAGGAAGCCATTCTCGTAGGCATTTCCCCTCCTGCCCCTTCTTTCCCTGCTTGCTGACAGGTCTTGGGCTGCGGGTGGAGGTGGATGTGCCCAGGTAGAGCCAACCTTGTGGATCAGAGACACGCCAGCTGGGGCTGTTGCCGGAGCTCTGCTCACGGGCCGCCACCTTCATCTCTCTTTCACCCATGTTTCGGTGCGCCCATCGCTGCTGGGGCAGCGTACAGGGAAGGCAGCACAGCTGTGTGTCTTGGGTCTCCTCTGATCCCCAGCCCAGGAAGGGCTGTGCAGGATCCCTGGGTTTGCCTGGTCCGTGGGTGGGGAAGGAATGCCCGCGTTGGTTGCATCCAGCAATCCCACACTGGTTGCTCCCCCAGCCTGCAGTGACTCCGGAGGCTGTGATGAAGCCTGTGTGTTGCATTTCTGCCACCCTGCAAAGGGAGTGGGGTGTCTTAATAGGGGTGTGGGAAGGGGCTACCCAGCCCCTGTGCCATGGCTGGAGGAGCCTGCCTGGCCCCTCGGCTCTGTGCCAGGGACACGGTGCAGTGGAGCATGCCCCTCATGAGCCAGGCTGCCCCGCAGCACCCTCGGGCAGGCTCAGCCTCACGGGGCTGCCCCAGGAGGGCGTCCAGCTTCTGGCAGCCTGCCTGTCCCCCCAGGAGGCAGTGAGTGAGCGCAAGAGTGCGGCAAAGCAAAGGGCTGTCCTGCAGCAGCAGACGGGGAAGCTGAGCGAGCTGGAGGAGGAGGCGCAGGAGCGGGCCCAGTACCTGCTGCAGCGGGCGAGCAGGATGCGCATGGAGCAGGAAGACGAGATCAAGGAGTTCAACGAGGTAGGGCCAGGGGCTCCCTCGCGTCACCTGGCACCGCAGAACCTTCTGCGGGTGTTAAGACCTGCCTGAGCTGCCTGCTCGGACAGGCTGCTGAGAGCCCCCGCGAGCTTCATCTAGCCACTCTAGACCTAAACCCTGCTCTACTTGTTGCTACCCAGGGTCATCCTCTCCTTCCCTTTTCCCCCTCCTTGTCTGTGTGTCTGTCCCTGCTGCCACTGCCAAGTCTGGCTCGGAGACCAGGGAGACCTTTTGTCCCCACAGCTGATCCTTGGTGCCAAGTGCCACATGATCCGCGACACGCAGATCCTCGAGAAGCAGCTCATCACAAAAGAGCTGGAGGAAGAAGAGAAGCGCCTGGCCAAGATGATGGAGGTGGAGAGGAAAAAGGCCGACGAGATGCAGGAGGAACTGGAGTGCAGGAGGAAGCAGGAGCTGATCAGGTTTGCAAAAGGGTCCCTCTTGCCTGTGGAGGCATCCGTCCTCTTCCCAGGCCCTGTGCAGGAGCTCGGATAACCTACGGCTGCCGGCTTCACACCACAGCATGCCTCCCAGTCACAGTGACTGGGCTGGGCAGCACGAGGCAGCAGACACACCACCCAATGCCCGTGCCGGCATTTCTGCTTCTGGGAGTGGGACGGAGCCGGAGGGAAACCTTCTGCTCTCTTCTTTCCAGAGGGAGGCAGGAGCTTGTGAAGCAGATGGAGCAGAATGCGGAGGAGCAAGCTATGAGAGCCGAGCAACGGGACCAGGAGGCACAGGAGCTGCTGGAGTACTTGGAGCAGCTGAAGATGGAGGACCTGAAGGTGCGACCAGTGACCAGGGAGCAGGGGGGGGCTGGAGTTAGATTTTCACCTTGTTGGAAGGGTGACCCAGTGCTGGGTAAGTCAGACTTGGTGTGTGGAGGCAACAGCTGACAGAATTAAAGCTCTGGTTTCTTGGGGAAGTTGAGGCATCCTCAGAAAGTGACTCGAGCCGCTGAGCCCTCCCTCACCCCGAGTGTGCTGGTGGGCCCTCAGGAAGGCACACAGGGAGGAGCGGAGGGAGCGCTCTGTGCTGTGGCACTTGTCCTGTCACCCTCGGACCCTCTGCACTGTTTTCAGGACTTGGAGCGGAGACAGGAGCAACAGAAGAAAATCCAGGCTGAGATTAAACGCATCAATGACGAGAACCAGCGGCGCAAGGAGGAGCAGCGGGAGCAGGAGAGGATGGCAGACGAACGGGTGCTTGAGTACCAGAGGCAGAAAATGGTAATAGGACTGAGCGTGTGTGGTGCTGGCATAGGTTCAACAGGCAGCAGAGGTGCTGCAGGGAGCTGCCACGAGGCTCTGTCCCATGCAGGAGCGTGAGGCTGAGTTCGAAGCTGAGCAGGAGAGAATCCGTCGGGAGAAGGAGAAGGAGACGGCACGCTTGAGGGCCATGCAAGAGAGGGCCCAGGACCACCAGGCAGAGCAGGTGAGCAGTTTGCTGACACACGATGTGCTCCCATGCTGGCTCACTTGCAACCTTCCTCGTCACCACCCCAGCAAAGTGGAAGCTCTCCTGGAGGTGGTGGGTCTACTGGGGCATTGCAGGTCTGGACCAGCACCTGGAGCCAGGTGACATCCTGGAGCAGTGCTGGCTGTGGCACTGGGAGAGAGGCAAAACTATGGTCAAGTGCTTCCATACCTCCCCCCTGAGGGAAGCCCTCCACAACCCCTCCAGCATCACCACTGTCCCCCTTTGGCAGGACGCACTGAGGGCCAAGCGCAGCCAAGAGGCTGCCGAGCGAGAGTGGCGGCGCAAGGAGAAGGAGGCGACACAGAGGAAAGCCGAGATGGAGCAGATGCTGAAGCGGAGCCGCCTGGAGCAGATCGCCCAGCGGGAGCACACCATGGCCGTGGAGGTTCAGCAGGGCC